TTCAAACTTCAGACCATCTAACTGCTAGCCAGATGTGCTTCCAATTACATCACAAATGGTAAGTAATAAGAAAATTCTATAGATTCTCACACACACTTAAAAGTGAGAGGAGGAGGAGAACCCAGTCACCAAATACATATGGCACTAAATTATCATTCATCACATTTTCCTTTGGGTACTTTGTACAATTATTAGGCTTTTAAATGACAGAAAACACAAAAAATAAGCTATGCTCTCACCATGATTCGAACTCCAACTATTAGCTTTCTGACACTACTAGCTGGACATGTTTCCAATTACACCATGAAGGCAAGCAATATAAGAAAGAAAATTCCTTACACTCATGTGGATTAAAATGCGAATTTTTTGTGTGTGCATTAATGCTTTGGATGTAGATAATCTCCTAATAAAAGAAAAGAAGGTTATTTTGTTTCTTTCTCTTTCTCATTTATGCAATCAATTTAAAATACACTCTGAGCAATTAAAGAAATCTTGAAGACTCTTATAGGTAATATATTTACAGCTGAGGCCACTAAACATGTTTTCAAATAACCATATGCAAAAACTTATACATAGCAGTACTGTGTTAATTGTTAAAGATGAATTTCTGTTCTAAAGTTAAGATGACAAAAAAAATTTAACTTTGAAATACACATTTATAATTCATAAAAATTACAAGCCATTAAGAACATTCAGAAAAAAAATAAATTAAGCAAATCAACTTGAATACTTATGTAAAATGTAAGATTGATCATTATACATCTTTTGATCAAATATCAACTGTCATTTATTTCACACACACAAATGAACAGGAAACATAAGCGCTCATCAAATGTTGCTTATTTATATAAAAGCCTAGTAAAATTTTAACGTGACTTTAAGTAATCAGGCATATATATTCATCAACATTCACAGGAATTACATTACTATATACATATATCAAATTTCAATGTCACTTGTATCATACCTACATAGACTTTAACAATTACATAAGCAAGAAAATTCCTTGTATGAAAATGTTGTTAGTTTTTCTACTTATTAATGGCCAGAGAAACAAAATTATAATTAAGTTACAGATAATGATTATAAACTTGTTACTAAGTAAAATCATTTAAGCTTTATTGAATTAAGTTCCAGCACTAATTGTTACTGTCTTCGCACTTCAAAATTTTGAACTCTAAAATTTAGAATTTAGCATATTAACAGGTTGACTGCCATGAGGTCACCAGCGGGGCACTCAGCTACAGCAACATGGTGACTGGTGACTGGCGATGCAACCAATAGCAAAAATGCATAATTAGAGCAAATATCAATGCTGATAAATTTTTAAATAGAACCTATTGTTACTACAGTCAAAAGTCGTTAATCCGGACTCATTGGGACTTCGGCGATTCCGGATTATCGATTTTTCCGGATTATAGATCATCAGTTTAAATCTGGTAAGATGGCATGCAGAAATTATAAAGTTAAAAATATGAAACTGTAATTTATGAAATAAAGACCAATTACGATCTAAAGGGTATCAAAATTTACATAAAAAAACTTATTATTTATTTGTTTACTTTATTAAACATTTCTTTCAATGTAAGTTGTTTAAGTTGCTTTGTTTTTTATCTGATAATACGTTCTCTTTAATTCTATAAACAGACATAATTTCTTGTTCAGTTACAAAGTTCCGCTGTTCAAGTCCTATAATTGCTGTGTTGAGAATACCGACTAATTTGTCAATCGAAATTTTTTCGTTTTCAATAACCTCTGTGTCACTTTCTTCGCTATCGGAATCGAATTATAATGACGAGGAATTTGATTTAAATCATATCAAAGACAGAGTATATCGAGATCAAATACTACATTTAGTAAGGAATTATAAGCCAAATAAAATAAAAACATCTGCCCTGAAGATAAGGATAGTGCTGACAGATCAACTTCCAATTCATTGCGCACCGCGACGTCCCCCCCCCTACACACACACAGAGCAGAGTGAAATTGATAAACAGATTTCGGAATGGTTAGATAAACAAAGGATATGCCTTTATTCATTTTTTGCAGCAATTCCACTTTTTGTTTAATGGACTTCGAAACATACTTTCGCTATGTAGATCCTTTACATATTAGTAAATATATATCAGAAATTCTATTTGACATAATCGAAAGTTCAAGCTTACTTTTATAAAATTGCTCTAACAGTCTGCAAAAAATAATAAGCCGGATCCAATTCGAAGATTAAGGAACAACGCAATCTGCCACATTAACTGAATTAGATAATTTTAGCTTAGCTTATACCGTCTGTTATACATTAAACGCGCATGCGTAAACTTATTATGCGCATGCGCACACGCATATTCACAGCCGTAAAGGTCTTACATGCATGCGTAAACGCCTATGCGCAAGCTTCAACGCGACGCATGCGCAGAAAGTTTGTAGCTTTGAGGTCCGGATTTTGGGTGTCCGAATTAACGACTTTTGACAGTATTATATTTGAAACAACTAAGCCTAAGCACAATAGCTCGCATATCTGAAATTGTGACTTTTGGTTGGTTCTTGCATCAAAACATTTAAAGTTATTTAATGTCTTTAATGTAATTTAAGATGCAATTAATTGTTACTTTTTGTCGCTGTTATTAGACCCTTTGAAATAAATATTACATCCAAGAAAATCTGAATGATTTACTGGTTGAGAAAACCTAAACATTATTGAATATATTGGATTTAAATTGAAATATACATTTTTGTTTGTAGATTTATTTGCATGCATCAATAATTATTTCAATAACCATACTATAACCAGTTGCAGATTATTACCTTTGAACAACAGGAATTTTACGTTTGTTCTTAATTGACGCATCTTTGGGATCCAACCCTATATTAGGAGAAAAGAAAATTTTATTCATTTCTGCATATTACAACTAATGTATTATTTAACTAGATTTACTTATGAGAGAAGAAATTCCATTTAAACTTCTTATAAAAACATATCATTTTACACATTTTATTTTGCTTTTTAAATTTTAATGCACATTACAACATCAACGTATTTCATTTTAGTAAAAATTTTCACACGTTAACTCAAATAAAGATGTAAGATCTGCAGTATGTACTAAGGGCAAACGATATCACCCCATCTGATTTAACAAAATAGAAATAACTAGCAAAAATCATAAATAACAGCATTATTAGGAAAACACAAATACAAATTACTAAAATATTTTATGCATATCAAATCAACAAAATAAATAAATAAAAGTTTAAAATGTGAAATTATAAGAGATGAAGGAAGTCAAAAATTTTTAAAAACTTGAAATGGTTGAAACTAGAGAACCAAAGGATTTCTCCCCCTCCCATAAGCACCCATTTCCAGCTTTTCCTCTATTAAAAATGACAAATTTTTGTCACTGCATGCCTTTTAAATGATTCTTTTATCAAACAATTCTTCACATTAATCTTTTAACTTATCCTTTAGTTTTTTTTTATTATTATTATTATTATTATTATTATTTTTTTAAAGAAAAAGAAATTCTCGTGCACCACAAAGTTTACAGAGACTTACAAATCGTAAGTAAAAAAGGCAAAATTGTTAAGTAATAACATCAGTCTACAATAATACAATGAAATCATACACAAACAAAAAAAAACACAAGTAAATACAAAAGTATAAAAATGTATAAAGAATACATTTATAATATATATTTACAATGTTTAAAATCAAAGTCAACAAAATCGTTGAAAGCTCGGTAGGCTGAAGCTGAAGATACAAAATCATAACATTTCGGCGGCTAATGAATTGCAATTAATTTTATTCTGCATTTCAATAGATTTCTTGCTTTATCAAGCAATGGACAATCAAAAAGCAGGTGGAAAACACTTTGTTGAACTCCATGATTGCAATAACACAAACTGGAAGATGACAGGCTTGAAACGTTCGAGATAAACATTAAAACTTACCATGTCTAGACAAAAATTGCATACTTTAAAATTGAGCAACAAGTCCTTACTTTTCAGTCTTTCAAAAATAGTTGGGAAGAATGTTTTTGTAACAGATCCCTTATCAGAAGAGATATAATCACAGTTCCACCACTCAATCATTTTAGCTTTGGATGTTCTTTTAAAATAAGATTTTGGAATATTTACATCAACATTAATATCATTTTTAGTTGCATTCTTAGCAAGCCAATCAGCTCTCTCGTTTCCATAATTACCTGAATGACCACGGACAAATGTAAAAAAACACCAAAATACCCTTCTTCTCCAGATCTCCGAGAGACTGCTGTATATTAACAATAATATCATTATATAAAGGTGTTTTTAAGGGATTCCAGGAAAGAGAGTGAATCCATACAGATTAAATCACTGGAACCATGTCCATCCTGGCTAATTATCCACTTGATTGCAAAATTAATACACAGAAGCTCAGAAATATATACAGCACATTCATTTCTAATGCGAAATTGGTGACACTCAATTTCAATATCATCTTCAAAAATAACATAAGGAAAACCAGCTTTATCATCAATCCTACTACCATCCGTATACAACACAAATGAGAATAAATTTACATCAGTGTCCATACTATCCAGAATCTGTACTGGTTGTCTTACAGAAGGATGTGGAAGAACAGACAAGGGCAATAAACGATCAAAATGAGAATTGGAGTAGTTTGCAAGACTATTCTTGTAATCTATAAAGGTCAGAATAAACAAATCCAGGGGTGGAAATCCGGCAAGAGAGAAAACAGCATTGTAACTAATAGTTTGGTAACCCCTTATAACTCGCAGCAAAATTCGTCTTTGAACTCAAAGCAGGCACTTAGAGTTAATTTTCTTTTTTAGAGACAATCCCCAAGCTCTACATCTATATGAAATAAAGGGTACAATGCCTTGTTTATAAATAATTGTGCTAACATTCGATTAACACCAAAACTATTACATGCAATTCGATTCAGCCTATGCTGAAGTCTCTCACATCTATTAGAAATGTAGGAAATATGCTTTTTCAAGTTTAATTTGCTGTCCAACAAAACACCTACATATTTAATTTCATTCACCCTCTCAAGGGAATTGTCATTTCAAAGCAATTGATATCCTTCATAAGTAGTATTTTTTCTATCAATAAACATGGTCTTGGATTTTGCATGGTTAAGGTTTAACTTAAAATCTATTGACCGACGATAAATGAAATCTAAAATATCTTGGGCGAGATGAAAAGATTTTTGCATTTCTTTTCCTTGAATACAAATCAACAAATCATCTGCAAAGGCAATGACTTCAAAGCAGAAGAGATCAGAAAGTTTCTGTAAGAGATCATTCATAATAATAATCCAAAGCTTGGGACCGGAAACAGAGCCTAGTGGACATCCTCTCTGAGGTCGACGAACACTTGAGGTGCCACCCAAAAAAAGCTCGACTGTCCTGTCTTTCAGCAAATCAGAAACAACATTAAACACATTATGAGGTATTTTCATTTCTTTTAGTAAATTAAGAATAGCAGGTCATCATGCATTATTGAAAGCTCCTTCAATATCAAGAAAAATTTAAATAGTGTACAAACCTCTTGTCTTGCCCCTCTGTACAATGTTGCTAAGACACAGAAGTGTATCCTCAGCACATTTTTGAGCACTGAAACCATATTGGTCAGCACTAAGAATATTTTCTTTATGTAAATGACAAGTAATATCCTTTAGTTAAAGGCAATTTTAACATGTAAAACATTATTTTTGTATCATTTTATAATTTTACATAATTCACTAAGTCTGATCATCTATTATAGAAGTCTAAAGTGCTATAATAGATGAACTTGTCATCTATGTCAAGTTTATCACTAAAAGCCGCCCAAACGGTATAGTGGTTAGGGAAGCCTGGGTTCAAATCACGGGAAAAACATGGATGTAAAATTGTCTGTCCCTTCAAAGGAGGTAACGGTGGTCGCCTATTAGGTTGCCTCCACAATAAAATGGCCACCACTTCTGGCCTTAGGAGTGTAAAATACACTGTGTGTTTAAAGGTCATTACTATTACCGTATTTGATGGCATATAAGACGCACTCTTATTTAGACGGCCACACACAAGGAAAAAACGTTTCATTAGCACGGTTTCTTTTAGTTCTCACGTTTCGTAAAAGCCAAATAAACAATTATTGAATGCAATTACCTTCACGTATAAGATGCAGGTAACTTTTTTGAGACCAGATTTAGGAAAAAAAGTGCATCTTATATGCCGTCAAATACGGTATTTATATGTCATTACGATTGTCAGTTGCATTTAAGAATTGCTTAACACTTTAGTTTTTTTTATATAAATTCATTTTAATTTTTATATAATGAAAATGTATATGACTTTGAAGTATATGACACTTTTGAGAAATCATCTACATTTTATGTTATTATTTTTTAAAATTAATCATTGTGCGTTATTACTTTTAATTAATGAGACAGTGGATGACTGTCATTTTGCAAAAAGTAGTAAATATAGTATATTATGAAGATTTACAGACAAAAGTCATGTCCAATTTTTCAAAAAGCATACCTTTGATACTTACAGTATTCTTTCTTTTTGCTCAAAACTGTCATTCTATAACAGCATTTCCAGAAAGTTAGAAACACTAAGAACAGTGCAATTATAAGTGATGCACCTAAAATGAAAACATTAAACATTAATAAAAGAAATAATAAGTATTTTAGTTTGTTCCCCCCCCTCACACAAAGCCTTCCTTCCTCATTTCATAATCAATGGTAATTACATATTAGAATGCAAGGAGATTGCAACTATTATATTAAACAGATTTCAGTAAACTAAATTTTAAACCTTAGTTATGAAATAATCTGCAAATATTTCATGTATGCTGATATAACTTAATTACCTTGGTTAAAAAAAATGACATTAGGCCAATAAAATATACATAAAAATGCGGTTGATCTTTACAATATGGTAACTGGTAGTTTGGCGACATTTTGGAGGCGATAAAGGTTACTACCTGGGACTTTGATAATAATGTGAGCAGTACTCAGTTCCGATTACGCATTATTTTGTGTGAGGGAAATGAGAGATCATGGGATATGTCATGTGATATTAATGGACGAATTACGGTTCTTTAATCGGAAAAGGGGGGGAAATCGGGAAAAAATCTGGAAATTTTGTATTTGGTTTATTCTGGGTTGTGTGAAACAGTGTTCGTGAATTTTTGGATCCCATGGCCGTAACTAAAGAAAAGTTTATCGGACACGTAATCAAGATTCTGAAGAAGATTAGGTAAGTTAGTATTTTTAATTATTTGAGGATATTATTTTTATGCATTGTTGTAAATGTAAGGTGGAAAGGAATTTAGTATTATTGGGAAAATTGTTATTAGCAATGATTTAGTTTAAAGTAATTAGGATTGTAAGGTAATTTTTATTAATTTAATGTATGTGCTCATTTATATTTTAAGTAGTGTTTTTGAATTTAATTATATTTTAATGAAATGATAGTTATTTTGTGAATTTTATGCTTGTAGGAATTTGGTATACGTTTAAGTTGAAATAAACGTGCATGGAAATAATTTAAATATTTTATACTAAATATTTGTAATGCTTCATGTATGAATTCGTTGGTGACGTGTATAATGTAATAGATGATTTAGAGGTAAAAGTTTTTGGATATTTTATTTATTTTATATGTGGAAATGTTCATATTTGGAAAGGGTAAATACTTTTTCGCGATCATGTAATTTCATATATGTTCTTTTTACCGGGTTTAAAGATTGAGAAAATTGTCATGTATTTTCGTGAAATTTTTTTAATTGATGAGAAAAAAGCAGTGTACATGGATATAGTGAAGAGTGTGCGCAATGCCATTTTTGTGCAATTCTGGGATGTTTTTTTAAGTAAAAATAAGTCGACGTGTACATGGTTCAGTGATATTTTAATGAAATGATAGTTATTTTGTGAATTTTATGCTTGTAGGAATTTAGTATACGTTTAAGTTGAAATAAACGTGCATGGAAATAATTTAAATATTTGATACTAAATATTTGTAATGCTTCATGTATGAATTTGTTGGTGACGTGTATAATATAATAGATGATTTAGAGGTAAAAGTTTTTGGATATTTTATTTATTTTATATGTGGAAATGTTCATATTTGTAAAGGGTAAATACTTTTTCGCGATCATGTAATTTCATATATGTTCTTTTTACCGGGTTTAAAGATTGAGAAAATTGTCATGTATTTTTGTGAAATTTTTCTGATTTATGAGAAAAAAGCAGTGTACATGGATATAGTGAAGAGTGTGCACAATGCCGTTTTTGTGCAATTCTGGGATGTTTTTTTAAGTAAAAATAAGTCGGCGTGTACATGGTTTATGTGTATGTGCTATTTTAAAAATGCGTAAGGAGGATGGTATTGTGCAGTTTTTCCTAATTTTGCAGTGAATATTTGTCATGATTAAGCAGTTTTGTTTCATAAAATTTCTAGCATAAGTGTAATTCGGCTAGTAGATTGTTGGAAGAAGTGTTCAGGAGATAAAAAGAAAAGAAACATGTCTTTACTTCGTGAAGACAAAATGGCGGCGGGGAAAAAAAATAGAGGGTTGCTGTAGGAGAGTTGGTCGCCAAATTTTCGCCAAAAAATTGCCAAGTTACCATAATGTAAAGATCAACCAAAAATGCTAGCAAAAATAAAACACAAAACAATTTTTAAAAAATCATGCTCTTTTCTGTTATGCATCTGCCATACAGTTTGTCAAATATTCTTCTGGGTTTTTAATTGTAAAAGATATCTAGTTATAAGAAGAGTTTATAGAGAGCACACACACACTACAACAACCCAGATGGCACTATCTTTGGGGTCTTGGCATGTGCTTGGCTTCTCCTTCACAGATGCTCAAAAGCATGGCAGGTGCATAATGGAAAAATACCAAAGTCGCATACAATCATAAGAACTGTATACTTTTACAAAAGTCTAAATGCTTTCAAAGAAATCAACATTATTGTAAATAAAAGTTGAATACATTTTACATTCACTTAATAAAGTTTTTAAAAACTGACAGAAATAAAAGTATCTTTCAAACTGAAATAAAAGTATCTTTCAAACTGAAATAAAAGTATCTTTCAAACTGAAATAAAATTAGTTAATTCTGTACTTAATTGATACATCATGAACATTACGATTAATAAACTCCACATCAAATCTACAAATGACAAAATTTAATTTTGTTCATACAAGCAATTTAAATTTTGAAAAAAAAAAAAAAAAAAAAAAAAATGGGTGAAGTGCAGAATCGCCCACTTATTTGGCACTTTTTACAAAACTAAGAGGAATTGGATTTTTGTCAATTTCCTTCGACTTTTTAAGTGAAAATACATCGATGTGTACATGGACAAAGTCAAGGGAGTGCGCAATGCCAAATTTGTCCAATTCTCTCATGTTTTTTTAAGTGAAAATAGGTTGATGTGTATATGGATACAGAGTTTGTGTAATTCTCAAAAATACGCCAAGCAGTAGGTGATTCTGCACTTTTCCCGAAAAAAAGTTATGTATGACACCTTTCATCCTAAAGAAAAAATATTTCTATACAAGAATATACAGAATATTATTTAAATGATTATCAGATTACTTTAATACTAAGAATGATAAAGAGATTTGAAAGAAAATAGTGCTCTTTTACATCTAAATAGGATCTATTTTCTCAAGCAAAATAAAGTAGTTTTGACCAAGACAAAAGCTGCAATTACTGCTACCAGGTATTTCTGCTAATTTTTTAAGCTTAAATTAAATTTTTTTGTCTCCTCTTAACAGCAAAATAGAACTTTTCTATTTGTAATTATTTGTTTTACCTTCATATATAAAAATTCTAAATACATATTAAATATGTAAATATAATTATGCTTTTTAAGGCACTGGAAATTTTACTCAGCTATTTTCCATATTGTTCTTTTACTTTGAAAATTCTCTAGAATATTATAAAATAAATATGTGGTCAAGAATCTAAGATTAGCCATGATTAATTTCTATCTGCATTTTTCAAGAATTTTGGACAAATATGACAACACAATTAATTAGTTCAATTATTTTATACTTTGGATACATTTTAAGAATCAAGATACATAGGGAAAATTTTAAAGCAGTTTTCAGACACAAATAACAATAAGTTCCTTACCTATAACAGCACCTATAAATAATGGAATGTCTTCAGGAACTACACCAAAAAATAATTTTGGATGAAGCACATCTGGTGCAATCGTACCATTATTAATTGCTTTATCTTTAAATGCTAAAAGAGTAACACTCTGTTGAAGGAAGACTTGGTGAACATCCTTTGAATTCTTTGAATCTAATAGAAAAATTAAAAAAAAAAAGTAAAACAATCATGATTCTTAAATGGGAAATACATAATATATGAAAATGTACATATACTACATTAAATGAGTAGACTTACAAAAATTTCCCTCTCCTTTGCAATAATATACATATACATATATAGTTTAATATTTAAAATAATATAGAAATTTAAGTTCCTGTTTATCATAAAATGCCCTAGATAGGCAGCAATAAAAAGCACAAAGATCTTCTATTCTTAACTCTTTATGAATTTGGCTATTCCGAATGTACCAGGGGGCATTACATATCATACGCAATACCCCGTTTTGGGCAGCCTGCCTTCTCAAACTTTTGCACGAGTATGCCCAGACGAGGCATGCATAACTAAGAATTGGACGCAACATGGTTTTGTAAATGAGCAACTTATTATCAATAGATAGAACACTGTTTCGAGCAATTAAGGGCAAGAGTGAAGCTTTACTAGCTCGAAACTTCCTGAGAATATGTGTAACATGTGGGTTCCATGTAAGAGATTTACTGAGGATCACCCCAAGATAAGAGACCTGCTTGACTCAGGGAATGTCATACACTTGATATTTTTTTTTTTTTTTCCTTACAATTAAATAATTATCAAATAGTATGATACATTTTAGCAGTTCACAATGAAACTGATATGCATAACATTACACATTTTTTAAAAAATAAATACATAAAAACGATTTTTGATTTAATATAAAAAGATCTAATTTTGCATTTAATTTTGATTTTAAATGCATCAGGTAATTTCTGCAAAATAATAATTCTCAAAAATTCTTATAATTGAAATAAGGATAACACAGAATTTGTTTTTTTAAGATGTAAAAAGAATCAGCATTTTACACAGCTCCAATTAAAAGCCATGAATTAATAAAATGCAAATATCAATTAAAACCGCACGCCTCTGTATTTACAAAACTCCTAATGCTTGTGATACCTGTGATGCTTTGAAGAACAATAAACATAACACACATAAAGATACTAGCACTTACCTATTCCTGCAGTCGTGGTTTCGGGCTGATCATTTAAGTATTGTAGGGATTTATATGGTATATTTTTCAATTTCCCCATAATGCCAATGTTTTTGGTACATGTTTTCTTACGCAACAAAGCACAAGTACAGCGTTCCCTGCCCGACTGATCCGTCGCTGGCTTTTCCCACGCCTACGCCTTAAAGGTGTTTCCGATACTGAATAGCAATAAATATTGCATTTTTAATGTCGATTTATCAACTTATTCTAATTATTGCAAATTTAATACTACCAATTCTAGTTAGGAAGCAACAATGCAAGTAAAGGCTTTATCCAATATATAATTTTTAAATATAATGAACAACAAAAAAGGAAAAGGGTACTATTCCGTTTTGAGGACCGTAAAAAAATTGCAGCGAAAATGTATGCGCAAAAGCGCTAAATCTAGCAAACGCGCCCATTTAACAGCCCGCCAAATCTAGCATACGCGCTGATTAGACTTAGACTCTATAATTGACCGAGCTATTGCGAAGAGCAATGTTGCCGGTTCCAAAATTAAAGCGCAAGGGCACTTGACATAAATAAATCCGGTCGTGGAGAAAATCTCAGATGAGAAAACGGAGGTAAGGGGAAGAAGAGAAGTACCAAAAGGAGCAAGACAATCCAATCGGACAAGTTCGCAAAAGGTGACGAGCGATCATAGCTTTCAAGGAGGACCCAAGACAATGGAAATCAATGACAACAATACGAGAAGATACACTACAGCAATAGTTCCAATGACAAATTCAAATATAATTAAACAACATCAATCAGTAGTGCTAAATACCACACAATACAAAACAACTATACAACACAATTATTCAACGAAGCAACAGAAGAACTTCAATCAAAATCAGATGCATTGGAAGTGTAAATAGCTAACAATTGAGGATCTAAGTGAAAAAGTTGTCGTCTCCTCCCATGAAGGTGTGAGCTGCAAGTGGTCTGACGCTTCTATCTTCGAAGAGAATTTCATAATTAAAAATTTGGGAGTAATTAACAAAGTCACATTGCACAGCTTTGTTGAAGAATTTTTCATTAGATCTTCTGATGTAATCTGGAATCGTCTCAAGTTTTAAGTCTCTGTGTAAAAGTTTATTGCGAATAAGATAGTGAGAATCAGTAATAATGCGCAGAAATTTGTTTTGCACTACTTGTAATTGATGCAGTTGAGTTTGAGTGACCGTGTTCCAAGCAGGAGTAGCATAGCAAAGTATCGGTCGAATGCAAGTGGTATATATATGTTTTTTGGTACGCAAGCTAAGATTTGAATATTTTTCCAATGACCGGGAGAAATCTGCATATTATGCCCATGGCTTTGCTCTTGACACTATTAATGTGATTAGACCATGTGAGCCTTTGGTTCAAAATAATTCCTAAGTATTTGGCCTTAGTGACCAGAGGAACAGCTTCCTGAAAAGGTAGAGGTCTTTAAAAGCAATGTTTTTCTTAGTTTTTGCTAGAATTAAAAGTTGTGACTTGCTAGCATTGATTTTTACTCGCCAATTTGTGCACCAGTCTTCTACGGCATAGAGGTAATTTTGCATTTTGTCTATTGCATGATTAGCTTGAATGGATTTAATTGCAATCGCCGTATCGTTCGGCATAACATGCTAACAGAGAGTAATTGTCCAAACCATGGATGAGGAAAATCTGATATGTAGAAAAGATGTAGTACTGGACCGAAGAATACTTCCTTGTGGGACGCTGGATCTTATAGGTCTTGAATTGGATTTTTCATTTCCTTGAACGACGAAGAAAGTGCGGTTTTGCAAAAGGAGAAGATCAGAAGAATGAGCTCTCTAGGAAGTCCCAAGTTGATAAGCTTGAAGACGAAGCCCCTCATGCCAGACGCGGTCAAAGGCTTTTGCCACGTCCAGCATAAGGAGCGCAACACTTTGCTTGTTATGGAATGCAGATCCCACAAATTCTACAATTCTTACTAGTTGTCGAGTAGTACTGAGGTTTTTTCTGAATCCGTACTGATCATTAGGTAGCAGGTGAAGAAAAGGTTCCTATCTAGTGAGAATAAGTCTTTCATAAATTTTACCAAGGCTGGATAACAACACTGATAGGACGATAGCCATCAGGCTTGGTCACATCTTTACCCGGTTTGGGAAGAAGAAAGATCTTGGCTTGCTTCCAAGGATCAGGGAAATAGTTGAGAGCAAGACAAGCGTTTTGAGAATACTAGCGAATTTACTGATAAGTTTTCTAGGTAAGTTACGAAGCATTTTATTTGTAATTTGATCACTTCCAGGAGCTTTTTTGATGTTGAGATATTTAATAATATTAGTAATTTCCATAGGAGAAGTAAGCCTTGGGATGTTATGAGCCGAAGAAGAATGAAGCCAGGAATACACATAGTTTTCGAGAACATCTTTAAAGGTCTGATTCATAGGCTCCATATTAGGAGTAAACTGCTTTTCCAGGCATTCAGCGAAAATATCGACTTTATCTTTAAGTGAGTAGGCAATTTTAGTATCCGTATGAATAGGTCTATTATTAATACTACTTCTTTTAAGATTTTGAAGATACTTCCACAGAGAACCATCATTAATATTAAGTTTAGATATAAAAATCTTCTCTTGTTTCCTTTTTAAAAATCAGTGATAAGTTTCTTGATTCTTCTATTAAAAAATATTGATTTCTCTTTTAAGGGCAGGGTCCCAGTTACGGTGCAAAAGCTTCAGCAATCGGTTTCTTTCTTTGATAATGTCTCTGATACTGCGAGGAAGTCGAATATTATTGTTAGTTAATTGAATGGTAACTGTAGCATCTCTGAAAGCTTTCAGTATACTGTCAGTGAAGATATGAATGGCAAGATCGATATCCTGTTTGGTAGAAAGTGAAGTGAAAATAGGAGGATGTTTGATTAAGATATTGTGAAAGTAATCCAGTCAGTATTATTTCTGGTAATAGGAGGGTCTTCTTTAGAAACACCAAGAGAAGCAATGACAGGTACATGATCAGATGTAAGTTCTGCCTTGACTTCCAAGGAAATAGGGATAGAAGTATTTGTAAGGATAATATCCAAGATGTCCGAGAGATTTGGAGAGGCAGGACGATAAAGTGGCTTCAGAAGGTACATGTAATGCGACAGGATGAATTGCAGATAAAATTATGCATAATACGTCCATTGATGTTTGAACGACGAACATCCCCATTCGAGGTGCTTAGCATTCATGTCTCCGGCAATAATAACTTGCTTGATCTTCAGGAAGTAAGTTTTTTAACATATTTTCAGAAAGTCGGTTTCGTGGTGGATTATAAATAGCCGTAAAATGGATGGTACCAAATTGTGGGAGTATAACAGCAACAGTCACACTTTCGAATCCAGAAGCAGAGTTTGTCGAGACAAGACAGGATTGCAGAGAGTTTTTAACAAAAATTGCAGCTCCTCCTCTTCTTTGTGAAAGTCTATCACCTCTGTTTCAGATTGCGTAAGTTTATATACTAGTTCTATATTTCTAATGTCGCCACTGAAATACGAGTTTAATTTTTAAACCCCTTTTTTTATATTAAATCCTTTTTTCATATCCTATGGATTTAATAATTTAGGAATTGCCCATGACGAAAAGTCTGCAATAGAATTTTGGGTAAAGTGGCAGAATCACCCACTGCTTCACGCGTTTTCAAGAATTGCGCGTATTCGGTATCCATATACACATCGACCTATTTTCCCTTAAAAAAAAAATCCAGAATTGCACAAAAATGGCACTGCGCACACCCTTGACTTTATTCTATGTACACATCGACCTATTTTCACGTTAAAAAGTAAAAGAAAATTGACAAAAATCCAATTGTTTTTACCCTAGTAAAAAAGCGGCAAACAAATAAGTGGGCGATTCTGCACTTTACCGAGAATTTTTTCAAAGAAAAGGCATCATTCATTATAGAAAATTATGTTTGAACAACCAACGAGATGGAATTATGCTTTAGCGATAACGCGGTAGCAAAATACCGATGCAGGCATCCCTTCAGTTATGTTTAGCAATTTTTATATAAATTATAATAATGATCTGAAATAGTTATTTACTCTTATGCTTCCGTTCAGTCATGGTTAGCCTTTTTTTATATAAATTATAATATTAAAAATTTATAGTATGTTAGATAGTTATTTACTATCATATACTTACTTTCTTGCGTTAGGGTTGCTGCAATTATTTTTGGCAGCACTGGCATCAACAATAATTTGGCGATATTTTAAGGCCTTCAAAACCGAATGGTACCAAGAAAAGTTATCTTGCATTTTACTAAATTTTATTTTTTGAAATGAATTTATGTACTTGCACATTCAGCTGCCTTATGTTAAAGGAAGATGTTCACTAATCAGGGTTAGTTTAACCATTAAATTGTACATGCAGTTAGAGTATAAATGAAAGGGGGCACCACATAAAAGTTCTTTGGTATTCAGGAAAGGGGCCATCAAAAAATTTTCTATTAGTGGCATGATGCAGCTAAATTAAACCCTAAAGAGTGAAAGAATGTGTAAAAAAATTAGCGTAAACATATATGGGAGGCACCAAAATCTTTTTAAACGCTTAAGATCTGTAAAAGTTTTAATCCGGTCGTACCACAAATATGTTTTTCAATGCATTCGGCATCTTTCAGTAAAATTTTTTGGCGAATTATTTAGTTACAGACTGACAATTGTTCAAACATTTAATTTATGAATCAAAGATGCACGTAAGCAAACTCACCATCGTCTGTATTTATTACACTAGTGTGCCAAACTTAGGTGTGGGTTGGTTTTTTTTTTTTTTTTTTTTTTTTTTTTTCCCTCTCTCTAACTTAGCAAGAAATCTCCTGGGAGCCATAGAAACTAGTATACAGGCACAATGTTTTATACCTAAAGGATGAAGAAAAATAAACTAGATAAACTATTAATATGACGCATACAGTGCTTAAATTGCCCCGGTACTTCTCAATTTTTACGATAAATTGCAATTCTAGTCGGAGCGGACCGGAGCTCTAAATAATATGAGCTCCTGTACTTCTTTTTATAAAACTGAGCCACAATTTCAAGGGAGGCAAAGTTTAGAATTCCTAACGTTTTAGATTAACAATAAGCAGACTTTGCAGTACTCTATTTCCCTAGAAATACGAACTGTTGAGAACATGAGACGTTTAAGTAAAGTCCCCTCGCTCACATGCGGAAACCTTTATTTCGTGGGAGGTTGTTTACGAACGCGTAAATTTCGTATCTATTATAATACTGTTGCGTTGAATTTACGCCTACGGAAGTTCAATCATCGATTGCATTTATTGCCACTTACGATTAATTCGATGTTATTGGAATTTTTTTTATTTCTGCTTATGAATTGTGAAAGTAAAGCACATTAGCAATTTTTAGATAAGTATAATAATGTATATTATAAACCATCTTATTGTTATTGTTATC